AATTAACGAATCTTAATTGATAATTAATCAACAACCCTTGACAACCAAACATCCACCTATCGTTCTATTCTCATCAACAGAGATGATTTGCGATCGAAATAGACTATTGGGAGGATTCTAAATTCATTTTCCACATTTTTCGTCTTCTTCTCCGTTAAATTGACCTCTCAGGCTTAAAGGACCACGAGATCGTGGAGCGCGCACTGTGTGACGAATTCGTCGTATTCAAATTTCGCGGGTGAGAACTAACCAACTTCATGCCTATGCGATTAACCAATGAGGAATCTGTCTTACGAATTTCGAGATATTTCGACTCTAACGATGTTCATTTATGTGTATGACCTTTCATAAATAGGATTCCAAACTTCTAGGTGCAAGCGTATGGCGATCGCCCCCTCCCCCCCAAGTATGAAATAAACTTTTTTTTTCTAGTTCACAAAATCACCGGATCGCAAAATCCCCTTCTATGGGGTTATTTTTTATCCTCCTCTATTTTCAAAAATTTATTGCTAACTTCTAGGACTAAGCATATGGCGATCCCCCCCCCCCCCCACCCCTCCTAAATTTGGAATAAACATTCTTTTCCAGTCTAAAACATCATTGGATACATGCTATACGCCCCGCTATACGAGTCACGAAGGGCTGACCACCACTCAGTGAGTCCTGGTGACAACATAATTTTGATTGCGATGACTAAATGTATTGCATCCCAATGACTCGCTGGGAAAAGTATTGATTGCATTCTATACTAGTGTTATATTCACGCTTCGAGTTGATTTATTCTTCACTCTACATAGTTTTGTGCCAGTTACATGAAATTTTCAGTTGGTTTTGATTCTGAAAATCGAGTCGTGAGATCTATAAAAGAATCCTGTGATCGTTACACAACAAAATTGAACACAATACTAATAAACCTTGATACTCAGAAAATAGTGATAGGGACCGATCGTTTTTCTCTCAGTGTGGTGTTGAAGAGACCGGAATAGATGGTAGTCGGATGGGGCGAGATCAGGCGAGTAAGCCGCGTGAGGGAGAACCTCCCATCCTAATTCACAGATAATATTAGTCTCTTTGGCGGCATGCGGTCGAGCGTTATCATGTTGGAGAATCACTTGTCTACTTCCGCTGCCAGTATATGGCTTCTTTTGCTCCAATGCATCATTCAAATGAATAAGCTGTTGTTGATAAACCTTCGCAGTAACAGTTTGGATAGGTTTAAGTAGCTCATAATATATCACACCCTTCATATCCCACCAGATACTCAGCATCACTTTTCTCGCACAGACATTGGGTTTCGGAGTCGACGTCGATGGTTCGCCGGGATTCATTCACAATTTTTTGCATTTAGGGTTGTCGTATAACACCCACTTATCATCGCCCGTAATGATTTTGTATAAGAAATCTTTTCTTTTAAATCGAGTGAACAGAGATAGCGCTGTCTCCAATCGTCGCTTCTTATTTTTGGGGCTCAGATCATGAGGAACCCATCTATCCTCCTTTTGAATTTTGCCAAGTTGATGTAGGCGATGAGAAATATATTGTTGAGTCACTCCGAGTTGTACTGCAAGCTCTGTTTGGCTTTGAGCAGAATTTTCAGCCAAGAGTTGTTCGAGTTCTTCATCGCCGAATTTTTGCGGTTAACCCGGTCGTTCTTGATCTGAAAGATCGAAATCTCCGTCTCTAAACCTCTGGTACCACTTTTTATACGTTTTATGTGTTACAGCGTTTTTTCCAAGAGCACTACAAATCATTGGAGTAGCCTCGGCAGCATTTTTCTTTAATTGAAATGCAAAAAGAATGCAGTGCCTCAAATGTTGCTTATCAACAGACATCGTGATTACTACTATTTTTTAAGGTTATGTAAGAACCAACATCTACTACCAACATCCAAAATATTGAAATATTAAGTATTTCAACGCAATTATAAACTGTGAAATATAGGGGCACCTTATTAATTTGTACACCTAATATTTACAAACATTTCCTATAATTTTCGTGCTTTATAATAAATGTCCTAGTAGGAATCAAATGTCCGAGCGCCATCGCCCGGACTTTCCAGGGGCGACTCTCGTATAGCATACGTGTGGCTAATAGTGGAATGTCCTCGCTAGCACGCCTAATAAACGAGACGAAATGTCCGGGCGCACGCGCCGACCGAACGTCGCCCTGCCGGTTAGAATTTCTACTAGGGAGAATATATGTCTCCTGGATGATTTGTTCATAGATTTTCCTTTTAATTTCCACCTAAAAAGGTTAATAGCAATGTTGAACGTCTTCAAACAATACTCCGCGATAGTGTGAAGTATCTCATGGCCGCAGTGAAAATCTAGAATTTTTAAGAACTCAAAGAATTAGATGAAAGTATTTGTTACTCAATCCATGGTCGGTGATGACATTGATGTACGTCGCGCGTTTGTAAAACACCGCTCACGGACGTCCTGATAACAAAATAACAAATATATTTCTATACTAGGCCTTAAGAACTTTTCTGCCTCATATAAGTGCAAAACTTGCCGTCGACTCTTTCTGCAACCTCATCGTGGCACAAAAGTTTCTAACGACGTAGTATCGAAATGTATCTTGATTAGAAGAATCACTACGAACCGTGATTACCGTGGGTAACTTGAGGCATGTTCAAATGAATCAAACCGTATGCTGAGTACACATATTCCCGTTGAGTAAATGTCATGATCAATAGAATTGAAAATTGTATCGGTACACTAAATGCCGTCCAGGGACAATCGTATGTTGCTTGACGAACGGCAACAATCTAAGAGAATGACATAAATAATGAATTTCACCGATGTGAACATTGGCAAAATTTCAACCCTAGATTGGTCACTCACCATATGATGAAATGCCGCAATGCATCGTTTTTCTATAATTTGATAAAAAAAACTGCGCCAAGAAAAAATTTCGTTTCGCTCCTACCGGAATGTTGAAATTTTAGAAAAATTTAAAAAAATTAAAAAAGAAAGCCAAGTCAGTCCGAATGAAGGGGTATAGTGCACAATCAGATTTCTGTAAGAAAAATGGTTCTCAATAGAAAATGGATGAAAAAAAAGTTCTCTATTAAATAAAAAATTAGTAGGAGCAAGACCATCGTCCTTTAGTCCAGGCGTCAAAGCACTAAATTTGATCAATGAACGTAATAATTCCCTATAAAGGTTTTAATACGTAAATTGCTTGGTTTTGGCATAAGTAATAACATGCTAAAAAATAATTGTCGATTTCAATCGGCAAGTTATTGTTTAAACAATGAAAAGTGGCGATTTTTTGGTTTTTCACGGTTTTCACGGCAACTATGGGGGCTACGATAAAAATAGTTATATACATGTTTGGAGAATGACTAATTTAGGGTGGATGTGGGAGGAAAATGTGGAGGGAGATGTTGGGAAAATCACTGTTAGCCGGATTTAAAAAAATCACAGTTTATTAGTGGGATCGAACCACTGTATTCAGTAAAAAATACACTCTTTGGTAATATATAACTGTTGATAATCTGTTAATTATCGATAATTTTTGTGAAATTAATTAAGTTGATTCACTGAATTTTTACTGGACTGAATTGATTATTGTACTGAACAAAGATATTAAATTTTGAATTCTATTTGACTAAATGGGCTATGTTATAATTGTAACGATACCGAAACACAACTGAACTGACTGACTCTTCCGGATGCTGCGCTGACCTATGTTCGTTGACCCGAAGGGTCACGTAGATTTTTGGAGATGGCCGAGTTGGTCGACTGTTAAGTAATATGGAGATTTGGCTGCATTTCAAACAATACAAATATAATCCCCATAAAATTATCTGAAAAAAATGTTCTTTGAATTCTTTTGTCCGATCAATCGTGTTTAAGATAAACCCGCGAAACTGGTCAAACTGTGCTACATCGCACTTATTTTCACTAACCATACGCCGCCCCACGCCTATTTTCAATGTGATAATTTCTTTATTATTGAAAACAGCACTTACGAGAATGATTTTTTTACTACAAAAAGTAATAAATGATGCAATTGTTAATTTTTAAAAATGTTGATAATGAAATTCGCCAAAATAACGGATATGAACTGACTTGCGAGAATCTAAGAGGAGGTGGACAAAATAATGATAACACAGTGGCATCACAAAATAATTATAAGTTGGTTCATTACAAATAGGTTTTGTGAATTTTGAAAATTGTCAATAAACTCTTCGTTTTTTCTGAACTGAAGAGCGCAAATCACCGACATGCTCCACTGATTCAGATTCGCTGGCTGATTCCTCACTGACTTGGACGCCCAAGAATTTCTCAATATCGATGTCAATTAATTCATCTACGTCTTCATCAATATCAATGTCGACATTTATATTGAAATAATTCGTCCCCTGGCACCCAGTACACAAAATTGAGTAATACAGGCCTATTCTCCTGCAGCCATAGTTACCAGTGCATCCTTTGAGACATTTACATGAAATCGTCTTCAGTAGTTCCTGAGGAGCTACGGTGTTTGTAGTGGGGATGGGTAATAGTCCGTTGGTTGTTTGTTTCCACCCCAATCAGTGGGATTGAGATGATTTCCTGACCAGGCTTAAATCTGGTGATAAACTCGTAAGCTGTGTTGCCTGCCTGCTTCGCGAGTTGGAGGCAAAGACAAGATATTACACCTGAGTTTATACCTGCACCCCCCCCCCTCACTCCACTTTCTGTCCTTTATCCCGTTTTTAATGCAGCTGGCAAAGCAGCAGGAGTAATAACGTTGGAAGAAATGAATACGATCGATACCGCAGGCAGTAGCTACGTTAAAGCATGTGACGCGTCCCAGATAGAGATATCTCTTGTAGTTGCATGGTTGAACCCAGCAGCTAGGCAGCATTACAATGTTATGCATTTTTGACACTTTGCTGGGCTGTCGCTACCGATCCTCAGTCCGGCATACGAAAACCTCTCCAATCTAACTATACATGTCGGGGGGTCGCTACAGTGCAGTGAAATGTCTACGCCAAGCTCTTTCGTAGATGCAGCCTTAAGGCTGTGGCTTCGCAGCGACAACCGAGCATTGCTATCCGTATGGATAGCATTGCTATCCATTTCGTTCCGGTACAAATTTTCTTTTTTTTTCGTTATATATTTTAAATATCAAATATTTTATGGAGAGCAACCGAGAGAATAGAATTTTTCTATAGCACTCATTGCGATGACATAGATATAAAAATGCCTTGGCTAAAATTGCTGATTTTTTATTATTTTTTTATTTTGAGGAGAAAAATGAAATAAAAAAACGTAAAAAAAGTAGTGTGAAGGAATTCTGAGAGAAAATATCTCAATAGAACAACTAACAAAATTTTCAATGATGCAATCGAATTTTAATAATCACTCGCAAATGATAGAATTTTAATAATTAGCTTGAATACTATTGGATTTTTCGATTTTCTTAAAATTTTTCTATTCAATCTTGAATTATATCTGTAATGAGTCATTTTTTATGAATATGCCAAAAAAATTCTTGAAGAAATTGAATTATCCGCAAAAATATTGGTTGTTGAAAGTATTCTGTGCAAAAAAACAGAATGCAACTTATTAACTAGGTACATACAAAGTTCGGTTTGTTACAAGTAAAATTTTTGTTTAATCATGAATTACATTAGTAATGGGAAATCCCTAATGGAAATGGTGAGAGCCCTCCCAAAATGAATTGGATAATTAAAAATAAACTTGTATATAAATAACTAGTCAATCATATACTATCAGTCATTCCGATTTTTATCCAGGTATTCGTTATTCATTCCTGAATCAAGTTAGTAGTAAGTGACTTGTGAGAAAAATGTCAACTAAATTGTTTACTAAAAAATACATTTGAAGATGAAAAGGTGTCATCATTTCGTCAAGAAAAGATCCTTGTATGTAATAATCAATTCATAAACCCATATTAGTCGAAACAGTTTCATCGTTGCTCGAAGTTCGGCGTAAAATTATTATGTCATTCATATCTCAAGATAATTAATCAAACGAAAAAAATGTTTTATATAAATTGACTTTCATCAATTTGTAGCCAAATTATCACTGTAAACAATTTGAGTTTGAGAGATATATGTTCATAGAATTATGAAACTAAGATCAGAAGAGAAGTAATCCGAATGGAAAAATTGTAGGTGAAAGGTCCTGAAGAATTCCGCAGCATTATAAAACACAAACTGGAATACTGTGTCTCTATGATTCGAAAAATGATTGATACCAATGATAAATCAAGAAGAGATGATTCTTGTAAAATTCAATATTCAAACTTATTACGAAGAATTTTCTAATACTAGCGGTCCGAACGAACGTTAGGCCCTTACGGTTGGGGCTTGACAGTATGTTTCCCCATTGGACCAGCGTCATTTAGAGAGCGTTTGTTTTCATCATTTATGGAACCGTGTTTGAGATCTGAGAGATTTTTTATCATGTGGTGGGTATATCAGGAATATATGGGATATCGATTACAGTAAGTACTTTGAGTTTTTAAATAATAGTACCTAAATATCCGTTGAAAATAGTTTAGAAAGCTTCAATAACCTCTCAATGGCGTCCTCCACTCTGAGCTTACTCTCTCTGTCTCTTCTATTCCATTACCAAAATATTTTCTATGTTTAGCGGTGTACAAATTATTTCATCAATGATATGTAGAAAACAGTTTCTCAGAAGCTTCTCGATATAGAATGGTCACCTCATCAACAATCAATCTTCCACTTGATTATGTGAAAAATAAAATCCGCATTGTGCTCATAGATCCGGATGAAATCAACTCCAGCGATGCTCCATGAATCTCTCAACACATTAATTCATGACAAGAAGATCTATCTCTGAGAATGATTAGGAGCCTGCCGATCCTTCCCAAACTGTATCGATAGAGCTCGACATAATACGATGTAGAACGAGCAAATCTCTTTGCGGTGGATGTCAAGATAATAAAATGTTTTCATTACAACAGATGTTGAATAATATGAACAATGATGTAAAAAAATTTCATGGAACAACTTAACGCTATCTCTAAAATCTCCAAAATTTCTATTGGAACTCTATAAAAGTTCTTCTAGAGTTCTGTCAAAATTCTATTTGTTTTGTTTGCCAGTTCTGCAAAAAGTAATAAATTTGTTTTGTATAAATTCCGTTTCTTTTCCACTATACACTTTGAAAAAAAAAAATTTGTAGAGAGAAATTATCCACGCTGGACAATTCTTGAACAGAAAATCAAAACAGAATAATTTGTATAGGGAAACCAACATCTGTCGACTTTCATCTTTCAAAAAATAAACGTATAGAAAAATCAATAGAAAACTTAGGGAATTCATTAGAAAATTCTATATCCGATTATATTGGATGCTCAAAAGTGAAAAGTTAATAAATTTTGAATTTCTGTTTGAGATTTTCTCGTTAGATTTTTTCCGTCAAAATTATTGAGCACAGATTTTCTGAGTTTTTTCCACTCAGATCCTATAACGCAAAATAAAACAAAAAACAACCAAAAAACGTAGAAAATTTTTGCCCAATGATTTTGATAGGAAAAATCTTATCACAAACTTTCAAACAGAGATGCAATATCTATTGACTTCCCTCTTCCAAATATCTAACAGTTTCATCGCAAAAAACAAATAGAATTTTTCAATAGCATTTTAATAGAGGTCCTAGAGAACCTCCATAGAATCCCTATAGAAGTCCAATCAAATTTTCTAACGAACTCACTAGGTTTTCTATTGAATTTTTTTCATACGTGTAAGACTTCAAAGTTGCATAATTTTCAATAGTA